CGCCCGCCCGCGGCCCCGCCCCGGCCCAGGTGAGCGGCCCCGCCCCGGCCCAGGTGAGTGGCTCGGCGTCGGCCGGTCTGACCACTTGTCTCTCCGGTGGCCTGGGGTGTGGGCGTCCCTCATCGGTGGGAAGCATGTAGGGGCTCCCGCATCGCCGCTCGGGCGGCGTGTGCGTGTCCGCAGCCGCTCGCAGGCTTCCAGCCAGGAAACCCTACGGACCGAGGGTCTCCCGGGTGCCCAGGCCCTGAGGGCTCCCCGAAGCAAAGGGTGACGGATGCGGGAGGAGCCGAGGAGGCCCCAAGAGAGGTGGGAAGGTGGGGTTCCAGACCTTTGGATCTTCGGTCCAAAAATATTTAAAACGTTGAGGACAGATAAAGAATTGCCAACTTTCTAAACAGAGTGGAGACTTCAGCATATAGGTGGTCGATAGTGGGAATGGAAAACCCCTAAGGAGGGAACCTTGGAAACACCAGGATTTAACAGGTGGGTGGAAGAAGAGTTGCAATCACAGATACCAAGAAAAGGGGATCAGAGAGCATTAAAACTGGGGGAGGGGGCGGCGGGTAAGGGAGAGAACTTTCAGAAATGAAGGGAATAAAGCAGGAGGTGGGAAGGGGGCTGGGGGGTTCAAAACCTTGAGGCGTTCAGGTAGGCAAGGTGGGTTTAATGAAGGGGTGGACCCGTATTATCACATCTTCCAGGTTTTCAAGAGAAAGCCTGAAACACAGAGTTTCCAATATTGGCAGCTAAGTCAAACAAAAAAAAGGTTCCAACTCTTTTCGAGCCAAACAAAACGTGTCTGTGGCAGGATCCCCAGGCTGCCAATTTGCAACTTCTGAAATGAAGGGTTTTGAGAAGGGAGCTATTGGTGAGCACTGCCAAAAGGGGTGGGAAAGTGAGGGCTGAGAAGAGAGGGATTGGCCATAAGGAGGTCACTGGATGCAAGAGCTGAAGATGCTGAAGTCCCAGCTGAAATTGGAAACTTGAAATTTGTCTCCGTGCGGTACACAGTCCTATGATTTTCTTTGGCAACATTTAACATCTTAGGAGGAATTGACGGAGAACGTTGGTATTTGGCAGCTGGTTGCAGCAGGGCAGGGAGGCGAGGAACGTGATGCTGGTCAGAGTCTATAGTTCGATCCATGATAGAGTCTAAGCTAGACAGGGAAGGGTGGACTAGAAGAGAGAACCAGGGCGAAATTGGTGGGTTGTTAGACCTGATGAGATCAATCTAGAGAACCTGAAGGACTGGAGATTATGGTTGCTGAAGAGGGAGGGAAAGGGAGTTAAGTGGTCAAAGAATTTTTGAGACTACTTCAGTTCTGTGCTTTTCACACCTGGCCTTTTTACTGCCTTATAATTCATAAAAAAAAAAAATCATTTCCAAGTAGGAATGAGTTCCATCGTGACTATGCTGATTAACTTAGTGTGTTTTTATTTTACTTTATTTATTTGACAGAGAGAGACACAGTGAGAGAGGGAACACAAGCAGAGGGAGTGGGAGAGGGAGAAGCAGGCTTCCCGCGGAGCAGGGAGCCTGACGCGGGGCTCAATCCCAGGACCCTGTGATCATGACTGAGCCGAAGGCAGACGCTTAACGACTGAGCCACCCAGGCGCCCCAACTTAGTGTGTTTTTTGAGCTGCTTAACTATCTGTGTCTCAGTGTACTGCTAATAGTACCTTTGTATAGAGTTGTGAGGATCAAATGCAAATGTGCTTATAGAAGGTCTAGTAGTGCCTAGCACATAGATGCTCAATAAACATGAGCTGTTATCATTATCATGGTACCTGGGGTTTCCCTTTAGCTTGCACGGCAATTTCTGAATGGGGTCCTGAGGGGCTCCCTCAGAGGCCACCACAGTGGGATGGGGAGTGTTCCAGGATCCGTCCATGTCCCTATGAAAACAACCCCCATTAACTGGAGCAGCTCTGCTTTTGTCTTTTATTTATTTATATCTCCGAGACGATTTATTTGAATAAAGAGTTCTGTGCTCCCCTCCCCTCAAAAAAGTGTGGCCATCAGTTCTAGCACAAAGCCAAGTGGCTTTTCCTCCATTCAGTCTTGTATTTATGCAACCAATGTGTGTGGAGATTGTCCTGTTGTGCTGGGGGCTGGGGCTGGGGGCTCCACAATGAAGGGAGCTCTCAGGCAGTGGTGGCAGGAGTCCTGAGAGCCCATGTTTGCCATCCAGGATGGTGAGTGCTGTGCTGCACACGTGCACTGAGCTCTGCAGGCACTGAGGGGGTGTGCCTGAGATCACCAGTCTTAGGATGCAGAAAAGGGGACGTTAGGACTGAGTCTGGGAAGATGATCCAGTGGCAGTCTGAGAAGCGAGGGGGACCTGTTAGGAGGAGGAAGCATTTAGGGCTGTGTGGAAGGAGAGGCTGGAGATGGGGCTGGAAGGGCTAGTGCTGTGAAGGGCTTTGGGAAGGATTTGGGCTGCTGCAAGATCCTGAGACAGATGATCAGGCCTGTGTTTGGGGTATTTGACGCTGGTGTCAATGTAGACAACAGACCTGAGGGAGGAGTAGAAGCTGGAGGCAAGTGGTCATTTGGGAGGTGAGTATGGAAGTAATCCTGGGGAGTTGCCCTGAGGCCTGGGCTGCGGACTGACAGAGAGGCAGAAGCCTCTTAATAAAGCCTCAGGAAATGGACAGACTAGGCGTATGGGGTGAGAGAGGGGGAAGGTCTAGGCTGACTCCCAGGGTTGTGGCTTGGGCACCTGGCTGGAGGGGGTGCAGCTAACCTAGTATAGGAGGGAAGTTTGCGCTGTCTCCAAAACCCCCATCCCCAAGGTCCTCCATTAGCCAGAATCTTGCCCCCTTTCCACAATGGCCCCACTCCGGCTCTCATCTACCTCTCTGAGCACCTTCAGTCTTTAGATTCTAGACCCCATGGTGTAGCACTTGATTCTGTCTGTCTGTCTTCTTTGTAGTTTTTTCTGATCAATCAGACTTGTCCCTAACTCAGTGGGGATCATCTCAAGGGCAAGCTTGTATCTTATTTTGTCTTGTCCACGAAAGATTCTGGCACAGGAAGGAGGTACATACTAGGTGTTTGATTTGACAATATCCCTTGTTTTCTTCTCAGATTGGGAGAACAGTAAGTGTGTCCTTAAGAAGACTATCTTTCAAGAACTACAGTCATTGGGGGGTGATACTAGAGTCACAATGGAGGTTCCCCCAGCAGCCAAGTTTGGTGAGACCTTTGTGTTTGAGGACAGCTTAGAGATGCAGCAAGAACTCTTCCCAGAGGAGGACCTGGGGGACCCTTTTCTTCAGGAAAGAGGTTTAGAGCAAATGGCTGTTATTTATAAGGAGATCCCTCTCGGGGAGCAAGATGAGGAACATGATGATTATGAGGGCAATTTCAGTCTGTGCTCAAGCCCTGTTCAGCATCAGAGTACCCCCCCAGTAAACAGATCCCAGGATGATGAAATCTTCAGCCCAACCTTCTTGCAGAAATCAGACCTTAGTATGTGTCCAATAACCCACAGTGGAGAGGAACCCAATAAACACAGTTGTGAGAAGGCGAGCAGGGCACACTCAGGACCTAACGAACCTCACAGAACTGCGCCACCCGCAAAACCCTATGCGTGTCGGGAATGCGGGAAGGCCTTCAGCCAGAGCTCACACCTTCTCAGGCACCTGGTGATTCACACTGGGGAGAAGCCCTACGAGTGCTGTGAGTGCGGGAAGGCCTTCAGCCAGAGTTCACACCTTCTCAGACATCAGATAATTCACACTGGGGAGAAGCCCTACGAATGTCGGGAATGCGGAAAGGCCTTTCGTCAGAGCTCAGCCCTCACACAGCACCAGAAAACCCACACTGGGAAGAGACCGTATGAGTGTAGGGAATGTGGGAAAGATTTCAGCCGGAGCTCAAGTCTCAGAAAACACGAGAGAATCCACACGGGAGAGAAACCTTATCAGTGTAAGGAATGTGGGAAATCCTTCAATCAGAGCTCTGGCCTGAGCCAGCATCGGAAAATCCACACCTTGAAGAAGCCTCACGAATGCACTCTCTGTGGGAAAGCCTTTTGTCACAGGTCCCACCTCATTCGGCACCAGAGGATTCACACTGGGAAGAAACCTTACAAATGTGAAGAGTGTGGGAAGGCCTTCAGCCAGAGCTCCAACCTCATTGAACATCGCAAGACTCACACCGGCGAAAAACCCTACAAATGCCATAAGTGTGGGAAAGCCTTCAGCCAGAGCTCCTCCCTCATCGAGCACCAGCGCATCCACACTGGGGAGAAGCCCTATGAGTGCGGCCAGTGTGGGAAGGCCTTCTGCCACAGCTCTGCCCTGATTCAGCACCAGAGAATCCACACCGGGAAGAAACCCTACGCGTGCAACGAGTGTGGCAAAGCCTTCCGGCACAGGTCAGCCCTTATTGAGCACTATAAAACCCACACCAGAGAGAAGCCCTATGAGTGTAACAAATGTGGCAAGTCCTTCAGGGGAAGCTCACATCTTATTCGGCATCAGAAAATCCATGCTGGGGAGAAGCTCTAGAAGGAGGAGCTCACACCAAAGCTTGAAACCCTTTCCCAGATGGAACCCACACCCCATCGCCTTGTCTGTAAGACCCCACCCACCTCCCTGATCCCAGGGCCGAATGGAAATGTGCCACCCCCAGAGCTTCTGGCCACCCACGCTGGCAGCCAGGCCCCCTCGCGCGCCCCTCCCCGGGCGCCCCACACGCAGCAGGTTTACTGAGTGGGAGGGTGGAGTAATGGGAAGGCCGCTGAATCAGAGGCATGCCCAAAAAGAGAGCTGGCCTCTGATTTGACTCCCAAGCCTGTGAGATTGAGTTTTGCCATCTCTTCGCCTTTGTCAAAATCCAGAAGAATAAACACCAGAGGGAGAAAGTTGAGTTAAACGCACAAAAATGTCAGATGAACTCTCTAACGTCAGCTGCAGTCTGGCACTTTGAGAAGACAGAACTGTGCTCACAGTCTGAATCCGCTAAAGAAAAATGAATCCGAAAGTAGATATGTTAACAGCAAAATGGAATCTTCCATTTGGCTTGGGCACTGTTGGGGACAACCAAAACAGGTTACAGAAGAGAGGGAGGGTCTGGAAGGATTCATTCTGGGTTGGGGAAGGGAGTGGTGAGCCCCTGGCATGGTCTCTTAATCCCTGTTCTGGGTTAGAGTAAGGGTGGTTTCTGGCAGATGGCCTTCACAGGATGGTAGAGGTTTGGTCCTGTAGGCCAGAGGACATTTGACCCTGGCTTTGACTCAGCCTGGCATAAGGCATCAGTGCCCTCCAGTTATAACTCCTCCACAAGACCTAGGGCTCCCAAGACCACAGTGTGCCTTGGTTGGCCCCAGGGCCCGTTTCTGGTCTAGGGGCTCTGCAGCCACCTCTCTGCTCTCCAGTGCTGGGGGACCTAGGAAGCAGGGCGATTCAGTCAGAGGTCCCAGTTCAGATCCCAGGTCTGCCCCTCCTACTTGTGTGATCTTGAGGAAGCTCCAACGCTCTGTTTCCCTATCTATGAGATGGAGATGTTGGGACCTGGCCAACTCCTGCTCAGAATGAAACCACCCATGAAGTGCTTTGGCAACTGGCAGTTGAGGATGGAGACCCAGAGGGACCCTTGCCCCACCCAGAGATCTATTTCCTAAAAGCCCAAAAGGCATCCCTGCTGTTCCCCAGATGGCAGGGCCTGCAGCCCACCCTCTCGTTGAACCAGGGCTTAGGCTTTTCTTCACTCCCTCCAGTCTGTATCCTGGGCTGTGGATGTCCTGTGGGGCCACCTCCCAGACAGGAACCCTTTCCAGATGTCATCCTCAACCTCTCCCCAGAAGCAGTGTGGTCTGCATCCCCGTACTTCTGTCCTCTCTCCTCAGGCATTACTCAAAAAGTACCATTGCCTGTTCCCTGCCTAGACCAATTCAGTCGGCATCCCCAGAGGTGGGGCTCAGACAGTGGTATGTTTTTAAAGCTCCCCAGGTGATTAGAATGTTCCAGTAGGTAGCCAGGATGTGAGCTCTATGCTAGGCATCTTGCAACCCCAGCATCTCCCAAATGTCAGGCCTGCTTGCCGTGAGCAGAGTTTGAAGGTGGCCATTCTGTCTCAGTCCCCATGCCTCCCATCCGCCAGGAATGGGCTCAGGCTGTGCTGTGTCTGGCTGGTTGAGAGGTGTTTGTCCCAGGTCCTCAGGCCTTCGTGTGGCCACCGGGATCTCTTGGGTATTGCCTTCCCCCAGGCTCCTCCGAGGCAGGCTAAGCGATTCTTTTTTTTTTAAAGATTTTATTTATTTGACAGAGAGATAGCGAGAGCAGGAACACAAGCAGGGGGAGTGGGAGAGGGAGAAGCAGGCTTCCTGCCGAGCAGGGAACCCAATGCGGGACTCGATCCCAGGACCCTGGGATCATGACCTGAGCTGAAGGCAGACGCTTAACGACTGAGCCACCCAGGCGCCCCTAGGCTGAGCAATTCTGAAGTTTTCCAAAAGTTTATAGCTGGAATCCCATTACCCGCATCATGGGAACACTGGCTATTTCAGCTAATCAGAAGCTCAGCTTGGTGCTCATGTATAGTTTTGATGAATAAAAATGGACAAGTAATTGTTACTTAGCAAGTGGAGCTTGGCAGGCTGGAGATTTTAAAAGGCCAGGTCTCCAGCTGGGGGTTTGACAGTGGGCGTCCCAGCCATGAGGACAGCAGCCACTCCTGTCCAGCTCCTCTCTGTTGCGTGAATGTGTGAAACCTTGAGCCAGCACCCGGGTCTCCTAGAACCTACCGTACCACCAGCTAGAGTGGCCTGACTGGCTGGCCCTGGGGATTGCCTGCATGTGGCCTGCGCTGCGGGTCTTCAGTCACTTACTAAGAGTGCAGAGAGAATTGAGATCCCTGCTCTGCGTGGTGGGAGAGCAGCCCCCTCCCCAAGATCTACCTCCTCGCACCCCCCCGCCCCCCCATTCGGCCTCACGTTGGCCAGGCCTGTCCTTATCCGGCAGTCATCAGTTTCCTACCTTTGATGTCTCTCTCCGTGTGCTTCTGCACGCCCTAGCCAAATTGATTTTCTTAAAGCATCTCTTTGCACATGCCACCATGCTCCTTAAAGCCAACCCTCAGGGGCTTTTCTGCACATAAGCCCCTATTTCAGCCAATTTGGTTTGCTCCTGAACAGACCACAGGGGGTTCACGCCACCCTGCCCAGATGCTCCCTCCTCTCTCAGCTTCCTTTACCTCGTTTTATGCCATTCTTGCATTTTGGAATATGCACTTTCTCCTCCTCCTGGTCCCCCCCGCCATCTCCTCCTTCCTCTCGACAATTTATGTAACATGGGGATTGAGACCTCCTTTCTGAACGGTTGACAGATTCTCACATAACCATGGTAGGACCAGGTACTTTTCAAAGTGTGAGCAGAACCTAGTACCTTCTGTTCACATTCCTTTACTGTTTTATGTATTTTTAAATCCTTCAATTTATTTAGGTTCTTGAACAGTGTAATATTACAAGAGAACATCCTGGTAGTATTTTAATCGTCCTTGGATTTAGTTGTTTTATGTTTGTCTTACATTTTTTTCCTTCTTATGGTAGATGTTGAGTGTTGTAAAGCTCCAACTCTTGGTTTTGTTGACTAATCGAATGGTTTTGTCGAAGTGTATGTATTCTGCTTTTTTTTTTAACTTCATATTTTACATTTCTGAAATTATTTAGATATAGCTAATCATATTTTTAATGTTTCTAGTAAATGCAGGTACTTTGGTCTAGGACTTTTTTCTTAGAGCTTTTTCTGCACTCTGTCAGTTTGACATGTGCAAGTTTTTGTTACCATATGAGGAATTTCCTTTTGGCCCAAGGGTTGTTTTTTCTATATTTCCAAGTGATGAATGCATAGGTCATTGCTGTTCTTTCTTAGTGTGCTGTGGTGTCAACATTTCTAAGTGTCCATGGAACCTACTCTGGGCCTGAAGATATGATCAATTTTTATAAAGCATTTGTCAATCTCAAGAAATGGGTTTGTACTCCCTCAGTTCTATTTGTTACTCAAATTCATACTTTCTCTGTTGTTTACAGTTCTTAACTTGGGTCTGCAGACTGCCTAGGAGTCCGTGGGTGCACAGGTTTATTTTAGAGGCAGCAGAGAGGAATGGAACAAAACTGGGTGGTTACATATGTGAAAGAATTGTTCGGGGCTGGGGGTTGGGGGACCTGTAGCATTCACCACATTTTGGAAAGGCTCTGTGAGCCTCAAAATAGTTAAGAACACTCATTGACATCATCAAATCATAGTCTGATTTTGTGTTTTTTACTTTATTTCTGTTTCACTTAAATTTGCTTCTATTTTATGTTCGTTGTTGTAATGTTAGACGTGCACTTTTCTCAAATCCTTTTTGAGAAATAGGCAGGGTTATCATTAAGTAAGTACCAGGATATTTGGAGCATATATATTTAATAGTAATATATTGCAAAACTGTGCCTTTTAGTGCCTTTGCCTCTTTTAATTCTTCTAGCTTAAATTTTTCTTTTCCAGATACCATAATTGAAGCCCCTTGCTTTTTTCAATTTGCATCTGCATGAGAGTTGATTTTGCTCAGCATTTTTAAAATTTGTGTATATATTTTGCTGTATAACTTACAAACAGCAAAGTGTTGGATTTTATTTTCTGATTCTTTCTGTAATTTTTTTTATGCAAGAAGTTCTCATATCACAATTTAGAGTAAGGCATAATTTATCTTCATACTTCTGTTTTAATATAGATGAACTCATTTAACCCAAAAAGGCCGTGCTCATTTAATGTCCATCTTTAGGAGTTATTCACCATGTGTGGAATATTATTTCTGGGGAGGCTGATGGTCTGCCGTTGGGCACACCTGCTCCTTCCTGCCTTTGTCAGTGCCAGGCTCTGTCCTGATCCCACTCTTAAAGTGGCTTCAGTGCTCTTGGCTCTAACCCGGAGGAATGATGCCACCTCACAGCCCTGTGGAGCTCAGAGGAGATAGAAATACAAACCTGCATGGCAAACTGGGGGCATAGAGGATTAGTACGCTATTAGTGTTTTCTTGAAATGTTTCTTTTTCTGTTTTTCCTCCCAAAGTTCTTTCAGCATAACTTGGAATAGTATATTGTGGTTTACTTTTTAGGAAACACTGCCAGATGTAGCAAAGAATTAGACCTCACAGATCCATCCCACACTCCCTGAGTGAACGTGTACGGTAATCTGGACAAGCAGCAGGGAACCTGATCTCATAACCCCCATCCCCATCACCTGTCTGTCCCAGGTGGGTCCCCTTGTCAGCCCTCCCCCTTCCTCTGTGGTGGCGGGGAGAAGCACTGTCACAATTGCAGAGATTAGAGAATATGGTCACTCTGGCCACTCCTGTGGCAGGTGGGGAAACGGAGGCCATGATTTAGCAGAAGTGAGGTGCTTTAGTGTCAGACCTACCCGGCAGCCGTGGCAAAGAACAATTTCGCCTGTTATAGTGCAGCCTTGGGCAGCTGTTGCCAGGACTTTTCAGGTGGCAAGTGATTTAGTCACCATAGGCCAAGTGAATAAAGTGAAAACCAAGTACTCTGTCCGCTCAGAGTTGCTCAGCCCTTGTACAAGTGGACGTCCGCCAACATTACACAAGGTGGATATATATATATATATACATACATACACACATTTGCCAGAATGCCAATGCACAGAGTTACTGGGGGTGGGGAGAGAGAAGCCCTTTTCTTGTGGGAGAACCCCATCTTCAGTATCTAACAACCCAGGACGCCACATCAGAAGGTTGCCTGGTGAGTGTGGAATTGGGGTGTCAGGACATGGACCTATCCTCCTGCACCACATGCCACACACTTGCACAACACTCAGAATGCTGGTGGGGGGCACCCGCTGAAGACCCTCCAGTGTCCATGGCCTCCTCCCTGGTGGGTGCCTGCCCTCTGAGGTCCAGAGCGCCTTCTGGTGGCGACTTGCAGACACATGAAAGGCTCTTAGGAGCTCTCCAAGTGAAATGTCTTTCAATCCCTGCTTCCTTTCTCCACCACCCTTATTAGCCAGGCTTCGTCTTCTCCCTGGAGATCACCGGAAGCACCACTGTTTCTGCCCTCTGGACCTCACTTAGGTCTTCCAGGTCCTGGAACCCCTGAAGTGAGAGAGAGTCACAAGCAACCAAGTAATAATGTGCTAATAACGTGTGTAATCTTCACGTTGTCTCATCTTTCAGAAAAGGAAGCTGCACCTTGTGTGGTTCTGGATGGATCTTCTCCTAGGACCACAGGCACCCTCAAAAGTGAAGAGCTGTCCTGGGCTCGTGCTGGGGGGCAACCCCAGTTGCCTTCCTGGAGGCCAGTGGCGATTTATGTGGGTCTTATAAATAAAACCCAAGGCCTATCCCTCCTTCTGATGGCCCATCTTGGAGTTCCCTGATAGGGGCCTCTCTCTCTGCCCATTTTCCTTTCTACCTGACTGAGCCCTGGAGGGGAGGGACCTGCCACCATGTCCCACAGCGGGCTGGGGACTGGAGGCTGTGCTGTGTGAATGAGACTTACTCCTGCCCGTTCTGCACATTCAGGATGCTTTTCAGCGCTCTATCATCTGTTCTTTTCTCCAGACTTGCCAATTTCAAGCCAAGAGCCAGATACCACCTCATCTTCTGCCTTCTCATTCACTCATCCCCACCCCAAAAGTCTGGCCCTTAATCTCTTGATGCCACCTTCTCCTGTCATTTGATTGCTCCTACCCGGGGCTGCTGCCATCCGCTGCTGGCCCACTGCACAGCCCTGTCCCCTGGCCTCCCACCACTGGCCTGACTTTCCCTCTGCCCACTCCCTTCAGCAGCCGGAGTGATCGTTCTCTCAGTCTGATGGGGTCACTCCCTTCCTCAAACATCCCCGTTGGTTTCTATGTAAACCTGTGTTGAGGCCAGCCTGTAGGCCCTTCCTGATGTGACACCTCCTCCTCACCCAGGCCCTCCATGCTCCAGCCACACTGAACCCCTATGTTCCCAAATATGCCTTCCTCTGGTGGGAAGAGCGGAAGGGTGGCCTTCAGGGGGCAGCTGTCTCCCACCCACAGAAAGAACATGGGCTGAACACGGGGCATCCTTCTCCAGGGTCAGGTATTCTGAGGCGAGATTCCCCCACTGCGCCCTTCCTGGCCCTGTGCTGTATTCTAGGTGTCAGGTGCAGCTGGACCAGGGAAGAAGGCCAAGTTTAGGGTGAGGGTCAACACTTCGGTTAGTGGAGAATGAGAAGGTAAGAGCAGGTCCAAGATAGGGTGACTGTTGTCCTCTATGACTCGCTGTGATACTTTCACATCGTAAGACCTGGCATATTTATATATTTCCTAAAAGTGACTTTACAAGCACCCCAAGCACCCCCAACAAAGGTTGTGCCTGAGCCCTCACCCTCCACAGCCTATCTCCTGCCCAAGACAGCCAGGACTCTCAGATCCTCACAGTGACTGAAGCTCACCTCATCCTTGGTTTCTTCCCAGTGTGATGGAACCAGGGGCCAGCAAGAATTTCGAGGTAAATCCGGTTCATAGAAGAGTTAAGTGGAGAAGAGCCTGGAGTCAGTTTCAAAATTGTACCAGGAGACCTTAGTGTTTCGTGTTCTCAGGCACCGATGTTGAGAATGCCGGCAGGAGCCTGTTTCCCCAGAGTACCTGGAGCAGGGGAGTGAAAGGGAGGGAGACGAAGAGACCCGCCAGTCCGCGGGGACAGAGGAGAACCGGGGCTGGGGCAACAGCGGGGTCTCCTTGTCTGAGACCTCAGTGCCTTCCAGAGGCCAAGTAGCTGACATGAAGCAAGAGGCCACCAGGGGGCGCCAGGAGCCTGTCCCACAGAGCTCCCCGGAGCAGGACCCTGCCCCCTGCCTGGTGCTCACCAGCCTATGGGACGGCCAGCAGCTGCCTCCCCTCCCGCCTCTCCACAGGTGCAGATCCAGCACCTGCTTCTGCCCTTTGCTTCAGCCATGCCACTGGTCTGAAGCCAGGCCTGCCTGGGGGAAGCCCACCGCCAGCTGTGGGGCCACAGGAAGCCAAGCCTGGGGACTCCTACTAGATGCATGGGTGCTACCAGATTTTTACACATCTCTGCCAGTAACTGATAGAAGAAGAGGGCTGTGAGTGAAAAAGGCTAGAGAGGACCCGAACGAGACAGCCTCACAGCCATCCATGGAGCAGAGTGTGCCAAGTGCAGAACACACATCCTTTCCAAGGACACATGGAACAAAAGTGCACACATGCTGGGCTAGGCCGAAGTACAGATTATGTTCTTGGAATCCAGCACAATGATGCTAGAAACCATAAATATATAACAGAAAAAGTGGTGCCTCTTCGCCCCCTAGCCAGGATTTACAGGCGGGGACGCCAGCAGATAAGAACGTGTTTCCCATACACACTCAGGCTCTGCTAATTGAGAAGTTTCCATTCCCAAGAGAAGCATGCTTTCTCCAAGGACGCCCCCTTGGCCACTGTGGGCATCTCGTGCCAGTGCACAACAGGCGTGGGTGATCAGCCTGTCGGTGTTGGGGACTGGGAGGAATGTGTCTGGAGCTGGACAGTTCATGCCAACTACCCCCCTCCTTCAGTCAGAAGTGCTCCTGTCCTAGATCCTCCAGGATGGAGATTTGCGTTACCTCGCTGGACAAGTGACCCGGACCGCTGGGGTGCTTGCTGAAGGCAAAGGGAATACAGAATGGGCAGTGGGAGCAAGAAACCCCAGCTATAGCCAGCGAACAGGCATAGAAAAGAGTAGTTCCCAGCATTTCTTTTTTTGCTTCTACATGAACATACATGCATTTACTTATTTCCTTTATATTTAAAGATTTCATTTATTTATTTGAGGGGGAGACACAGCGAGAGAGGGAACACAAGCAGGGGGAGTGGGAGAGGGAGAAGCAGGCTTCCCGCAGAGCAGGGAGCCCAATGCTGGGCTCAATCCCAGGACCCTGGGACCATGACCTGAGCCCAAGGCAGACACTTAACGACTGAGCCACCCGGACGCCCCTACTTACTTACTTTTTAAGATTTTATTTATTCAGTTATTTTTAGAGAGAGAGAGAGAACAGGCATGTGGGGGAGAGGGAGGTGGAGCGGGGGGAGGGGCAGAGGGGGAGAGAAAATCTCAACCAGGTTCCACGCCCAGCACGGAGCCCAACACGGGGTGTGCTCTCACAACCCTGAGATCATGACCTGAGCCAAAATCAAGAGTCCGATGCTTAACCGACTGAGCCACCCAGGTGCTCCTACTTTTAAGAGTTTATTTTTTTTAAGTTATCTCTACACCCAACATAGGGCTTGAACTCACAATCCTGAGATCAAGAATTGCCCGCTCGACCAAAAGAGCCAGCCAGGTGCCCCTGCATGTATTTGTAACAGCCCCCCTCCATCTCCCTGCAACCTAACGCTAGATGTATTAATAGTGGGTAACCTATTTTGATATCTGAGTTACAGGATATCAAATGCGTGTGTGTGTGTTGACAAAGATTCTTTCCTTGACCAAACTGTAGTCAGGCTCCTGAACCTTCTCCTAGGCCCATCTGTACACTTCCTTCTAAGATCTGTTTTTGTTTTGTTTTTAAAGTAGGCTCTACACCCAAGGGGAGCCCAACACAGGGCTTGAACTCAAGGCTGAGATCAAGCTTCTCCCTCTGACCCTCCTCCCTCTCATGCTCTCTATCATTCTCTCTCTCAATAAATAAATAAAAATCTTTAAAAAAAAAAAAGTCGGATGTTCAACTGACTGAGCCACCCAGGGGGCCCTAAAATCTGTTTTTTCCCCCAAGATTTATTTATTTTAGAGAGAGAGAGCTTGAGTGGGAAAGGGAGAGGGAGAAAGAGAGAGGCAGACTCCCTGCTGAGCACAGACCCCCCCCCCAATGCAGGGTTCGATCTTACGACCCTGAGATCATGACCTGAGCCGAAATCAAGAGTCAGACACTTAACTGACTGAGCTGCCCAGGCATCCCATCTAAAATCTGTTTTTCAGCAAGAACTCTCCGAAGTCAATTTTACCAGAATCCTGCACTCTCGATATTGATTGGGTTCCTCATCCTCTGCCATCCCCCAGGTGAGGTCTGATCGCCCTGGCCTGTCTTCAGCAAAGAATCCAGTTAGGTTCAGGTCAGCCAGAATCCGCCTTACCCATGGTGTCCGCTGTTAGTAATCTTCCATCCACTGCCCCTCACCCTGCTCTTTGGTAACAAATGCGCTCTTGCCCGTGCTGTGTTTGAATTGAGCCTGGCTCTATGTTAAGTCTCTTTCCCCCTATCGCAGTAGTTCCTGGATAAAACCTGTTTTTGCCACTTTAATTTGTTGACCTTAAAAATAAGGCAGTCACTGTTATTTTACCAGCAAAAACGGCATTACGTACAGCAGAGAACTGTAATTTGGGTTAAGTAAGCTATGGCAGAAATCATAGGCCAGTCCAGCAAACAAAGCAGAGGAACATTATTTCATGGAAAAGAAAGAGGAACTTGGGAAGGATTGTTTTAAATGAAAGTCCAATGGAGAAAGGCAAGAGTTCAGGGTGATGGCCATTTTTCACTGCCTGAGTTGCTGGGGTAGTCTATTTTTTGTAGGAAATTTATTTTTTTTAAAGATTTTATTTATTTATTTGACAGAGAGAGACATAGCGAGAGAAGGATCACAAGCAGGGGGAGTGGGATAGAGAGAAGCAGGCTTCCTGCTGAGCAAGGAGCCCGATGCGGGGCTTGATCCCAGGACCCTGGGATCATGACCTGAGCTGAAGGCAGATGCTTAACGACTAAGCCACTGAGGCGCCCTTTTTGTAGGAAATTTAAAGTACGTCTTTTCCTGTGGGCCTGTAACTGATGATTCTTTCCGATTGAGGATTCTTCTTTGCGGGGAGCGGGTAGTCTGTAATTGACAACTTTTGAGTCAAGTGGTATGACACCAGAGCTTCCCTCTTCTGGCTTCCTGACTCCATCTCAGTGAGGTTTTCTTTATCAATTTTCACATTTCCTTCTTTTTGACCAAGATCTTTCTCTGAAAACATTGCTGATCAAGTCAGGTTTTCTTAAATTCGTTGGCCTTTTGTCCCTTGGTGCCAGGAAGGACCTTCCCTGGGTGTCATGTGTCACGTTGGAGAGAAATTGTACCTACTGGAAACCTACTGAGATCATGTTCGAGTAACAAGAAGGGGGAGCAGGAGAACTCTCAGGCACTTCCCATCTGTAGTCCATACTTACTGAGATTGTAAGCACTGGAGATCATCTCCTCCTTGGGTACCTCGTTTTTACAAAGGTTTGACAGCCAACAAGTACAGAATCAAAAGTCACAGGACAATTCCAACTGCATGATGATCCTAAGGTTTCAGAGTCCTGAGACCTAGGTCTGAAAGCAGCCAAATGAAAATATTTGTTGGCATTTATTCTGACTTAGGGGAGAAAAGTTCCCTTTGTGGAGGCAAACTTGGAGTCACGTATGCCTCCTGGAAGTCCCCATTTAAAGCAGCCATGAAAGCAGAATAATGTTTGCGGCAAGAGCACCCTTACTTGCAATTAGCCAAGTGCGTCTGAGACGATGTAATACAGGCATAAATGTGAAGCCATAGCTGATGAATTTTTTGCAAAACAGCAAAACTTCAAAGACATTTTAGAACAGTATTGTTATCTCAAACTGGAACAGAATGTATTTAATAAAGAAATTCAGAAACCATGAACTTGTATAAGAATCCAGAGTCATTCCATGGTCCAGATGAAAAAGAGAAACTTCTGTGAATCTGGAACCTTCTATCAGGCCTGGTCTGGATATCTTGGCAAAGTGGTCTTGTCAGATGACGTCTGCTTCAATTCCAGGTCACCAGATGCCGTGCAGGTCCAGTGAAGGTTTGGTGCTTTCTTTACACGTTATGTGAATCCAAGAGTCTGTTCCCTGGAGTTCGGTGGCACAAGGGGTGGTTAGCAGTACCTGATAAGGACCTTTCCAGCAAGGTTGACGAGTCTTTCTGGAGGTGTCTTTTCCAACAGGCAAAATCTCCAGGTTGCAAGGCATGATGCTTAAGATCTTCATCTCCTGCGAGTGCACGGTGGACAGACTGCTCCTACCGAAGCAGTTATTTTTAACAGAAGCAACTAAACCTTCACAATACCAAAATATATCTTCTATCAATTGTGGGTCAAAGGAGACAGGCGCCAAGTGCATTTGATGTCTTGGGACTATCTCAAAGGGTGAGAGTCTACAAGTTCCAAAGGGGGTAGATCTGAGATTTAGAAGGTCCAATGGCAATACTTTTGGCCATGTATTTGCAGGGTCTCTACAAATTTTGCCAGTCCTGTCTTTTTTTTTTTTTAAAGATTTTATTTATTTATTTGACAGAAAGAGACACAGCGAGAGAGGGAACACAAGCAGGGGGAGTGGGAGAGGGAGAAGCAGGCTTCCCGCGGAGCAGGGAGCCCGATGCGGGGCTCGATCCCAGGACCCTGGGATCATGACCTGAGCTGAAGGCAGACACTGAACGACTGAGCCACCCAGGCGCCCCGTCAGTCCTGTCTTAATAGTGCCATTAGTGTGTTCAACTAACCCTGAAGATTGAGGATGGTATTCATCACGAAGTGTGGTAAAACCGGCCAAAGACACTTGCTGAAGCACCTGGTTGGTAAAATGGGTTCCCTGGTCACCATGAAGTTCTACAGGGGTTCCCCTGATAGGGATAATCTTTTCTAAGAGAATTCTAGCTGCAGAAGAAGCAGCGGTCTGTCTACAAGGGACTAGTGAGAAATCATACAAACCATGACTAAAACATATTCCTATCCACGAGACTGGGGAAGCTGTATGAAATCCATTTTCCAAACCTCTAACGGTCCAATGGGCAGTTCAACGTGTCTGGGAGCAGTTTAAACAGGGTTCCCCAGACTGTACTTTGGACAGTAGGGACAAGTGAGGTAGGCAGTTTCTGCAGCCTTATTAGTATTTCCCCACCGGTATTGGTTCATGAATGCCATAATTTTGTCAGTACACCAATGGTTTAACGTATGTACAGTTATAGGTAGTGGAAAATTTAGCATTTCTGATCAGGCCGGATTGTTATTTCATCCAAATCAGAGTTCTCACTGTTTATAAATCAAACAGCTATTAGATTTCCAATTTCGTTTTTCCTTTTTTGGGGCCAATTGTTGGGTGTCAGTTTTTCCAAATTATCATTTGGAAAAACATCTCTTTGGACCACGACAGAGGTTTGGCTATTGGTTTTCTCTTTCTTTTTTTTTTTTTTAGAGAGAGAGAGTACACATGCAGGGCAGGGGGAGGGGCAGAGGGAGAGAATCCCAAGCAGACTCCCTGCCAAGGGCGGAGCCTCACACAGGGCTCGATCCCACAACCCTGAGATCATGACCCCATCCTAAATCAAGAGTCGGATGCCCAACCAACTAAGCCACCCAGGTGCCCCAGGAGAGAGAGAATCTTAAGCAGGCTTCACACCCAGCAAGGAGCCCAATGAGGGGCTCAACCTCACAACACTGAGGTCATGATCTGAGCAGAAATCAAGAGTAGAACGCTTAACCTACTAAGCCACCCAGGCACCCCTTGGCTGGCTTCTTTGATTACCATTGTCAAGTTCTAGAAAATTATTTCCCCCTTTTGATATTTCCTAAGAAATCTTGGCTCCCAAAATGAGGAGGAGCAGAACTAAGGAGAAAAGGGTGGGCATCTCTCAAAGGACCTATGCAAAAGGGGATAGGTTCTGAGACAGGAATCTTTCAAGGCTAATTAGAGCCCCCCACTATTTGAACTGCTTCAGTATTCTGAGGCAGGAGCTGCTTTATAGCAGTGGGGTTGAGCATCAAGAGTGTAGCTCCAGTGTGAATAATGACGGATTTATTGCCAAACTGGAGCGCTGTTTCTCTGAGCCCATTAAGAGGGAGGACTGGGGATGGCCCCATCGTTGGGACTTAGGAGGACACTGGAGAAGCTGGCTTGAGAGCTGAAGGCACCTGGAGCACTTCAGTTTGTAACAATCTTTTCCTCCATGTCCTGGCTCTTTGCAGTGAGGAGTGGACATAGTTTCCCATTCCATCCTGGTCTTCTTAACTAAAAGAGAAAGATCCAAGTTCAGCCCCAAAAGAAACATGGAGTTAAGGCTCTCCGAGGGTTTTCAACATCTAAAGGAAGACCAGGATTGTTTTCTTTGAAAACAAGCGCACACTGATTACAATAGTCACAAACAGGTTCATCAGATTTGCGTGCAAAGCCTGAATTTCGTTCCCATCAACAGGCTTACAAAAAGCTACTGCAATTGCTCAGTGGAGGTTGTCAGCAAGTGTTCTGCCATTTTCACCAAAAGTCAGGTTTTGTTTTTCTCTCTCAGGATGTTCCCTTTGGGCAAGTTTCCTCCCCCAATGTTTGGCCTGGCCCTCACCAAGAAGCACTGGACTGATTCCTCTAAATCTGAGAAATCAGGTTGGTAAGTTTGAATAACTCTATTATTACATCCCTCAGCAAACCTATGGGAGTCCTCCCTTGCTTTAGGAAACTCTTTGATTATGGCCCCAAATCCAGCCTTAGTCAAGAGAACAGAAGATATTTGGGATTTATTTGGATGCTCAGAAAGTTTAGCTTAAAGGGACAGTTTCAAAGGAGGAGGAAGAGGGAGAGGTTCCGGGAATTTTGACAGGATAATTGGAATGGGGAAACAAGGACATCGAGAAGGTGCAGACGGGAAGGAGGATGGTGGCACCAGAAGTGGGGTGTGAGCATAATAAGGTGCCTGCAGTGTGTTTGGAGACAAAACAGGGAAAAGAGACCTCAGAAGCCTTTTTGTCTTTGCCTCAGTCTAGACATTGTATCTTGCAGAGAGGTAATTTTAGATTCCTGATAATATTTGGAAGCTTCAAAATACCAGTCAAAATAGGCATCGCGTGCAGTGGGGACAATTTCAAAGGCATGGCTGCCCAATTCAGTTTTGAGAAAAGGAAGTTTGGGGAGACTGAAAATTCCCCATAATGGCCAGAGTGCCCTCCAATTTCCCATAATGACCATGGCTGTTCTAAATGACTTTGAGTTAAGTCAGCCCATTTAGTTAGAAATGTGCGTGAGGAGGGGCGCCTGGGTGGCTCAGTCATTGGGCATCTGCCTTCGGCTCGGGTCATGGTCTCAGGGTCCTGGGATCGAGCCCCACATGGGGCTCCCTGCTCCGCGGGAAGCCTGCTTCTCCCTCTCCCACTTACCCTGTTTGTGTTCCCTCTCTCGCTGGGTCTCTCTCTGTCAAATAAATAAAGTCTTAAAAAAAAAAAAAAATGTGCGTGAGGAGGGACCACAGTTCTTAAATAACACTGGCCTGGGTCCCAGAAGGGGAGGGCCCTCTTAAAGCATTTTGAGGATTGGGATCCCATTTCTTTTTTTTTTTAAGATTTTATTTATTTATTTGACAGAGAGAGAGACACAGCGAGAGAGGAAACACAAGCAGGGGGAGTGGGAGAGGGAGAAGCAGGCTTCCCGCGGAGCAGAGAGCCTGATGCAGGGCTCGATCCCAGGACCTGGGACCATGACCTGAGCCAAAGGCAGACGCTTAACGACTGAGCCACCCAGGCGCCCCTGGGATCCCATTTCTTAGAGGTTTTTTTTCCTAGAGCAGAAAAAAAAAATCATCAACAGTACAGTTCCAATAGGAACAGCCTGGTTCCAGAAGGAATCAGACCAAGAGCTAGAACAGTTTCAATAGAAATAGTCAGGTTCTGGGCGCCTGGGTGGCTCAGTTGGTTAAGCGACTGCCTTCCGGCTCAGGTCATGATCCTGGAGTCCTGGGATCGAGTCCCGCATCGGGCTCCCTGCTTGGCAGGGAGTCTGCTTTTCCCTCTGACCCTCCTCCCTCTCATGCTCTCTGTCTCTCATTCTCTCTCTCTCTCAAATAAATAAATAAAATCTTAAAAAAAAAAAAAAGAAATAGGTTCTAAAAAGGAGTTAGATCAAAGGCCACACAAATACTCTCAGAAAGGAGAAAGCTCTACAACAGATCCCAAATGAAGCCTGGAGAGCTCAAAATACAGAAGGAGGAGTTCAAAATCCCGGAGAGACTTACCCTTAAACTTCAGGGTCAGCAAGAAAGCAGTGAGCTCTGTGGGTCCCAGCACCTGTTTGCTCACAAGCCTCAGAGTTATTGGGGGTCTTTTCTGGATCCCACTTCTGATCTTCAAGTAATGTTGACCTTAAAAATAAAGCAGTTTAGGGCGCCTGGGTGCTCAGTCGTTAAGCGTCTGCCTTCGGCTCAGGTCATGATACCAGAGTCCTGGGATCGAGTCCCACATCGGGCTCTCGGCTTGGCAGGAAGCCTGCTTCTCCCTCTCCCACTCCCCCTGCTTGTGTTCCTGCTCTCACTGCTCTTTCTCTGTCAAATAAATAAATAAAATCTTTAAAAAAAAAATAAAGCAGTTTATTTTAGCACAAAAGTGGGTTTGCTAGGGAACTACAATTTGGAACAAGCAAACTAGGGCAAAAACCACAGGCTAGTCCAACAAACAAAGGAGAGAAACATCACCATATGGAGGAGGAGGAAGTTGGGAGAGATTGTTTTGAAGGAGAGCACACTGGAGAAAGGCAAGAGTTCAGGGTGATGATGGTTTCTCACTGGCTGAGTGGCTGGGGTGGTCAATTTCTTGTAGGAGATGCTGTGTACAGCTTTCTCTGTTGGGGCCTGTAATTGATGATTCTTTCCTGTTTATGCTTCTGTTGGGGGTCTGTAATTGACAACCCTTGAGTCCAGCGGTAAGTCAGCTCCTGCCATTCCATTTCAGCAAGCTTCCCCTTTATCAATTTTCACAAACTTCTGTTCAGCTCCGGTTGTTCTCTGTGTGTGTGTGTGTGAACTAGGAGAAGAATGAACGTCACCTACATACATTCTCACTTGCTCACACACACAGACACCTGCACACACTCACACCCCCACTCACACACTCTCAGAGTGATATTTCCTCCACCCCTCATACTCCTGTACAAGCCTCACACTCTTTCACTCTCATTCATTGGTCCTCTGGAGCCAAGGGATGATCCGTGCTATACATGGAAGAACCTCGGGTTTAGGAAGAGAACCCCACACAGGATGGGAACCTGATGGGAGGGTGGGTGAGGCTGGCGATGACCCGCGCGCCTTGATGGGAGGAGGGGTTCCTTGGGCTCCCAGACCCTTCTGCCTTCAACCCCGGCTGCCCTGCTCACGACGGAGGAGCGACCTGGAGAGAGCCCCCTCTCTGGGCACACCGCTGGCCCAGCTTCTGCCCAGAGTGTGGGTCCCAGGGGGCTCGCCCTGCACCATCCTGCTCTAGCCACCATTAATCTCGCCCCGGCTCCCGGACCCGCCTCACCCTCATCGGCCACCAGGGGTCTCTGTCCCCTCGCTAGATCCTGCGCGCGGACCCAAACAAGCGGAGACCAGGACCGTGGGGTGGGCTCAGGGATCTCCGAGTGACGCCACGTGAAACTGAGGCTCGAGAGTCCAGAGTCACACTAGGCGGGTCAGAATGGAGACCAGGATGGTGGGGCTTAGTGACCGCCGATTGACGCCTAGGGGTTTTACCGGGGGTTCTCAATGCCGCGGGGGGATGCGCACCGCGGGGGCAGCAACCTGCGAGCGTCAACAATCCAAGGAAGGGCGCGAACATGGGGAACGGGGGCCGTGACCTGTCTCCGGGCTGCAAATGAGTCTGGCTGCTCCGGAGAGCCGGCTGATGCTCAGAGTAAAAGTGACCATAGACGCCCCGTGTCCCCGCAGTTGCAGGACGCCCTGGGTTCCTGCGGTTCCAGGTCTGGTGCGCGCCCCCCAGAAGCGCTGGTGTGTGCGCCGGGGACGCGGGGTTCCCTGGCCCAGTGTTTGTGAAGGAGGAACCGGAACTGCCCCAATGTTCATCCATCTACTAGGATGGCCAGTACCGTGCTGTCTATTCACACACACAGGCATCCAGCTCAGTGGTTAGATCCCAGTCGTTATCTGTGTAGCAAGTTAGAAGGAGCACGATATGTCGACGTGATGTTTGGGTACATTTGAAAACTTGGAATAAAATGTAAGGTGCTCAGCCTAAACTGCAAGGCCCCAGGGACATGATGGCTCCCTCTCCTGCCTCCTGCCCTTCCTTGGATGGGGCCACACTGGCCTTCTTGCTATTCCTGCAATTCGTCAGGCACACCCCACCCCAGGGCCTTTGCACTTAACTGTTCCTTCTGCACGGAACACTCTTCCCCAAGCACCTTCCTGGGCTGGTCCTCTCACTTCCTTCACGGGTGGCCTCTCCTGATCATCCGTCTAAACTAACAGTTGTCACTCTGCCCCCCTTAACCCCTTCTTTCCCTAAGGAAGTCATCACACCACATATTAGAGCAGAACGTGTTGTTTGTTCTGGCCTCTGTCACCCTCTGGAACTTTGCTCCGGGACTTGGTGTCTGAGGCCACAGCCATGTTCAAGCCCTACAGCAATGCCAGTCTTCGCAGCAGATCAGTTTCTACCTGGGGAATGAATGACACTGGGTTTCTTTCCAGAAAGTAGGGAGTACATGGGACTAGGGGGCAAGGGCAGGAACAAGGGGAGTTCAGCTTGACCAGTTGTTTTTCTTTCTTTTTTTTAAAGATTTTATTTATTTATTTATTTTGAGGGAGAGAGAGAGAGAGCACGCGAGTGCAGAAGTAGGGGGAGGGGCACAGGCAGAGGGAGAAGCAGACTCCCAACTGAGCAGCAAGCCCGACGTGGGGCTCCATCCCAGGACCCTGGGATCATGACCTGAGCCGAAGGCAGACGCTTAACCTGCCTAGCCACCCCGGTGCCCCAACCAGTTCTTTTTCTTCTCTTAGTGAAAGATCTGAGTTGGTTGACCACAGGTTAGGATTTGGTGTTTCTGTGTGTGCCATATCTGTCAGTGTCCTTGGTATTTTTGTGTCCCCCCCATCTAGTGTGGAGGAGACCCCTCCCAGGGACTCTCTGGTCTGGAAATTCCTCTTCCCCGAGGTACCTTCTTCCTCATGGGGGGCTGTGCACCCTGTGTGTGAGGGAGGTGGGGTAAGAGCCTGCCAGCTCCTCTGCCCCAGCCCCTCCCCTGGGTTCTGGCAGGGTCCTGGGAACTGGGGTGTGTGTGTGTGTGTGTGTGTGTGTGTGTGTGACAGGACACTGTACAGGGACATTCGGGATACCTTGGCCAGGAATGTATCTGGGACACTGTGTGGCCCATGGAGGACAGTCAGGGGAGTTTGTGACATCCTTGTGTGGGTGACACCTCTGCACCGTGCACGGTGACCTCCTGGCTGGGCTCCTGATCACTGGGCCATCAACTCCTGATAGGCCCAAGCTCCTCTCCTCAGGTGTGGACCTGAGGCCCCTTGGGGAAGGGACCTGGCATGTGAGGTGTGGGGTAGTGGGCTCACTCTGCTCCCCCAGGCCTGGAAGGAGGAGTGGCAGGAGGGGAGGGTGAAGATGGTTTCTCCTTGGCTGAGTTGCAGGGGTAGTGGATTTCTTTTTTTTTTTTTTTAAGATTTTATTTATTTATTTGACAGGGAGAGACACAGCGAGAGAGGGAACACAAGCAGGGGGAGTGGGAGAGGGAGAAGCAGGCTTCCCGCAGAGCAGGGAGCTGGATGCGGGGCTCGATCCCAGGACCCTGGGACCATGACCTGAGCTGAAGGCAGATGCTTAACGACTGAGCCACCCAGGCGCCCTGAGGTAGTGGATATCTTACAGAAGATTCAAAGTAGGTCTGGTCCTTTTGGGGCCTGTAATCATTCTTTTCTGTTGATGATTCTTCTGTTGGGATCTGTAACTGACCATGCATCCTGTAATTGACATTGAGTGGTAGGGTTCCCCTTTCCAGCCTCCCCTTCTATCCTCCAGAGTCTGCTTTAGTGAGGTTTTCCTTTACTGATTTGCACAATGACAAGTGTCAACTGAGCCAGGATGTGCTTAAATGTGCTTCAGTTCCACAGCCCAGAAACAATGCTGAGTCTTAGGGTACAGGTCACGGGGAGAGGGGGGCCCCCCTCGGGGCCAAGGACATTTGAGCACCATGTGAGAAAGAGCACTGAGCCTTGAGGCAGGTAGCCGGGTTCACAGCGTGACCCAGACAAGCCTTTCACCCCCTGTGGGCCTCGGTTTCTCCTGTGAAAGCTGGGTGCGTGGAGCCCAGACCTTAGAGACTTTCCCAGTGACCCCCACCCCTAGCTCCTCTCTGGCTCCTGGGGCAGCCAGGACCCCTGATGGGCCTGACAGCCCAGGCTCTGAGACCCTCCCCGCCAGGGTGGAGGCACGAGGCCCTGCTGCCGGAGGTCTCCCCTCCAACCTCCACATCAAGGGCAACTGCCCCAAGAAGGCCAGATGGGTCTCTGGCCTCAGAAACAGAGGGGCCATGTGTTATCTGGGGCAGAGGGGACTAAATCCCCTCCTGGGGCCCTGACTGTGGGGACCACCAGCAGGGCCTCTGGTGCCTTCCCAGAGCCCCACACATGTAGGTTCACAGCCCCTGGCCCACAGCCCCCCATTCCAGCACTGACACCCTCCCAGCCCCCTCAGAGCTGCCAGAGGCCGAGCTCAGAGCCCTGAGCCTTCTCCTCCCACCCGGGGCTCGGTGCTGCCAAGGAGACACAGAGTAATCACTGCGGAGAGGGGTCTGAGTCCTTCTGAGGAGGGGCCACCCCATGGCGGGGCGCTGAGGAGGGGCCACCCCATGGCGGGGCGCTGAGGAGGGGCCACCCCATGGCGGGGCACCAAGGAGCTGGGAAGAGTCCTCGGAGCCCCCTGTGCCCTCTGCCTCAGAGTAGAGCTGAGGTCAGAGTGGGACTGCTGGGAGGACAGTGTCCTCGGGTGCCTCTCTGTCCACGCCCCGGCTGTTAGGACCCAGGCGGGACTTCTGGGCTCTGAGGGATGTGCCGCCTTTCTGGAAGTCGGTCTGTAACGTGCTTCCAGAGCCTCAGACAGGCGTGACCTTCGATCCATGCGGCGACGGGCAGCCCGAAGTCCGTGGTGGTACTTATGCACAGGGATGGAGGCCGGGGCGTTGGCTGCGTCTTGTGTGGAACGGTGGCGCTGGCGGGACCCGGGACAGGCTGCCTGAGTGTCACTGGAACCTCGGGCTCACAAGTGCGATGCGCGCCCAGGTTTCCCTACCCCTGTGTGGCTGTCCCGTTCGGTGACAAAAGAAGCTCTCCGTCTATCTCCTGGCTCTTGTCTATCATCTCTTGTCCATCGTCGGTCGTCCGTCGTCTATCGTCTGTCATCTATTTGTTGTCCGTGTGACATGCAAGGTCAGGCCTGGAAGGACATACACCACATACGACCAGCACAGTCTCCAGGCTGCGCTGGCAACTTCTTTATACTTTTTTCTGTTTTCTCTTAAAAGGATTTTTGAATTTCTTTTTGTAATCAGGAAAAAACCTAAGCTGTCTCCATTTTTAAAAAGAGAACAAACGAAAACAACACGCTGCCCGGTGCCAGGGCCCCGGAGAAAGCCTCGCTCCGGGCTGCAGAGGTGTTGGCGACCGGCCCCGGGGGGCAGAGCTGCCCAGTGTCGCCAGGACCGGGCGCGACCAGGCGGTGGCTCGTGGGCGCCGGCCGAGCAGAGGAGCCTGGTCGGGTCCGCGGGGC